TAACAAAGGTAATTCTGATTATTAAATCCTTTTGCAAATGTAACAATTAAAGGACATGTATTTTATCGGATAACTTTTCTGATATGGTCAACTTCAATGATATTGTAAATAAAAAAAATTGCAACTCATGTGATTGACATGGATAAGAGACTAAGAAGCATGGATACGGACACGTTTCACATACACAACGCGATATTTCTCTATTGGCCAAACTTTATCTAAGTCAATATTGATTTTGCTTGCTGTATGCAAAATATATGGAAGTTTCAGTCTCAATTTTATTTTGTGTGTCAATATTGATTTTGCTTGCTGTATGCAAAATATATGGAAGTTTCAGTCTCAATTTTATTTTGTGTGTCAATATTGATTTTGCTTGCTGTATGCAAAATATATGGAAGTTTCAGTCTCAATTTTATTTTGTGTGTCAATATTGATTTTGCTTGCTGTATGCATGTTGGGCTATTAGTATCAAGCATGTGGAGTAAATGTGTCACGGATTAGTTTAATCTAGACGGTTTTCTTGTGCTGCTGGGAAAAAAAAGTGATTCAACTTCAAGATTTGGTGTACTTTGCAACCCTTTATATAGAGCATTTGATGCTTTCCCTCAAAAGTTTGCATGTTATTTTAACATTAAAAGATTTCAGAAGAAACTTACTATATGTTGTTTTTTCTTTTGCTGTTGTCGATTCATAGGGACATATGTCCATATCTTCTTTTCAGCATGTGGTGAAAATTGGCTTGACTTGACTTTCAGTTCTTTTGACTTGAGGCTTCCACGACTTTACAGGGTAGAATAGCACTTGAACGAAGGAGGTTTCTGAAAAATGCTGAGACAGCAGTACAAAGACAGGTTAAGTGGTCAAATTTGGCTCATGAAAAGACAGCAGAGTTTCGTGGTCTCTGTGCTGAAGAGGTAGACGGAAATCCACCATATTATTTTTTGGGGCCCATGCTTACTTAGATGTCTTATTTTTTTTATAGGGCTTTAGTTTTTCTGACACTTTGCTCTGGAAATCCTGGAACTTAGGCTTGTTTGCAGCAAGAACTGGAAAAACTATATGATTTGAGGAATAAAGTGAAGTTAGATGGGGAACTGTGGGATGAACTTGTATCTAGCTCCAGTCAGAATTCTCATTTAGTTCAAAGAGCAACTTGTATATGGGATTCTTTATTAGCTCGAAAGAGTAAGTGCAAACATCTTATTGATTGCTTTATCTTTTCTGTACTCCCTTTGAAGTTTCTTGCATGTATATTTCTTGGAATATGCATGCAGCTTGGCTAGAAATCACTGTTTCAGACCACGGTTGAGATAGGCTTTCTTGAGTTGAGTCATATTGTTTCGGGCATTGGTGAGATTTTTGGGTCACTCCATAGAATCAAATTCATTGTTCAATCTTCAAAGGTGAACTGCATCATTTTTGCCCTCCCTTATTCTCTTCCTCAATCTTCATCTCTTTCTCACTCTATATGTATATAAAATTATAAATACATGTGTGTTCCTTGAATAACTGCTTATTACTGGGAATATCAACTTATTTTTTATTAAATAATAATAATCCAGTTACATGAATATGAAATGCACATTTTATTTTTTGGAATTCTTTGTTCTTGTGAGGTTTTAGTTAGGGAGAGAGGAAGATATACTCGAATTGTAGTGATGTTTTCCTAAATTACGGCAATATTTGAATGTCTATTGCGCAGCATCTAGTTTGTTTTTTTAGCCTATTCGATTCAACATGGTTTATTTTGTTTCATTTGGAATATCAGCATCTAGTATGTCTATTGCCCTTTTCTTGACTTTTGTGTCATACTTGAAAACGAATTGAAAATCATTAAATTCTTTGTACCCTTTTCTTGACTTCAAATGTAATTGGAATGCTTGTGTATGTTACGAAATGATATCCTAGTTAATGGACCTAGTTTGGCTGTGGCAACCCCCAGAACTGTAATAATCAGTGATAGTATGAATTAACTGAGAAAATAATGTTATATTCTTCCTAGATTTCAAGAATCCCATGCATTAAAAAAATAACTAAAAAAGAGTATAATAGATGAGCAGAATTTGTTTAATGTGAACTCATAAAATGTTAAATTACTGGTGCATACAAATGAGATCAAGTGATAAATAGATACAAAATAGGTCAAGACTTTTGAGGGAAATTAGTGAAATTACTGATAAGATTACAGATGATATTGTTGACTATGGAGACCCTCAAAAGCCAATGATTGCCCATCTAGAACTTGTTTTGCTTCTCCAACGAAATCCCAGCCATATTACCAATATCATCGACTCTTTGTTGGAGAGTGTTCATTTTTGAAGACATTGCATTTCCAACTTTACTGATCTCCTCCTCAATTTCAATAGCTTGATTCTTCAAGTTACTTATTTCTTCGCCAACTTTATTGGAAGAGTTGTGCAGCTTTGCCATTGATTCTTCTAACTTGTCCTTCATCGTCGCTTGTTTTTCTTGTAGTTCTGATTGAGAAGCTGCAATTTCCTTGGATTGCTCATAAACTGCTTCTGTATCCCTTAACACGAGGCTAACTTGATCTTCAACATTCTGTGTCAGTTTCGCCACTTGTTGGGTTTGAACATCAATCGAAGCCAAAGAATCATGTATAAGGTGCGAATTCTGCAACAGACCCTCTGCTTTCTCTTCTATGGTCTCTAATTTGTCTTCTGCAAATTGTGCTGAATTTTTTAATTCATTCACCAATCTCTCTGTTTGACGCTTGAATGCATCAGTCCTTCAATACCATGAAATCAAAATTCTAGTCAGTGACTGTACTAAAACCAATGAACTTGGATATACATAAGTTATACTTATATGCTTTACTGTGATTGATGGCAGATGGAGTTGGTTTCAAGATAAAACTTCATATAGATCTTCCACGCATTCTTGTGCAATTTTGTGAGGCATTTCAGCATGCTAGATTTTGCATTGCAATGAGGAAAAGGAGGCCTGCCAGAGTCTTTCTGGAAGCAATCACTGAGATGCCAAGCGAGTCTAGACCGCTTCTCTTCACCTGCTAGGATCTCTGAACATCCAGCAAAAAGATTCTGGTAAGCATTTTGCCAACACGAATTTGATGCAACCATCTTTTTTCTAGCATTCTCAACTAGTTGGATTCCCTTTCGGTTGTTCAGACTTTCCATGGAGAAGTCGCCGACCACGTCATTGAAAATTGCTCCATTCTCTGAAGGGTTCTCGGTAAGAATCTCTTTAGAGGAAGAGAACCAACTCCATGAATGAGAATGAGAGTTCTGTGAAAACAAGAAAAAAAGCAGGAACAGAGGATAATGGTGATTTTGATGACCCATCTGTGTTTCTTTACTGATTGATTGTGTGTTATCTGAGTCTATCACCAATATGACATCAAACCTGCTTTAAAGGCCAAAATCAACCAATATTAGTAAGCTTCTTATAGATATGTAAGTGCATTCACACTGGTATTAAGTTTGCCTTCAGTATTAGGTTAGATGTTTTCCCATATATATAAAATATTAAAAGAATTCATAGGTTTGTTTGAATTTGACAATTACAGTTATAGAAGGACAGTTTAGAAATGAGAAAAATTGTGACAAAAGTGTTCATACCATAGATAGATAGATAGGATAGGAGTATAGATATAAAAGTATAGTGCATATATACAGAGAGAGAAAGGGGAGGGGGAGGGGTAAAGAGTATTAGGACTTGGAGAGCAAGGAATGAAGTGGGAAGGTCACAAACTGAAAAGGACAGATTTGGAAAGAGACAATTATAAAATAATGGGTAGAAAATGGAAAGAAGTTTTGGATTCCCCTGATTTCATTACCTGTCCAAATCCTCTGCTTCCATGTTGCCACAATGTCAATTTAATGCAGTTTGTTTTTTTTTAAAAAATAATTTATTATGAGACTTACAAATTTTAACAAAAGTTGAGTTAGGGTGAGTTTTACGCTTGCTTTAGAGGAAAATATTTTCTATCAAAAAAAATTTCAGATTTTTTTTTTCTTTTAAAGAGGGTTTTTTATATTTGGTTGCATTTTTGAAACTTATATTAGTGATTGGTGGTGGCTGCAGGCAGGGTGGAGGTGGCGGCAATGTGGTGGAGTTGGTGGTGTGGTGTTAGTAACAACAGTAGTGGTGGTATTGATAAAATTGATGATACGAAAATATTAAAGAAAAGAGATATTGTATCATAAATATATTTGCGTAACTAGAAAGAGACATGCCAAATGGAAAGCGATGCCATATATATACAATATATACTAAATTTTGTGATTTTCTTTCTTTGTTTATGTAAAATTAAGGGTCATTTTGGTCACTCTGTTAGAAAATGTTAAATAGTAGAATCATATGCTGTTGTACTGATAGTCCAAGAATGACGATCGTTAAACTAAGGAACACTCTAATGGGTCTTAAAACTTTTCATTTTACACCTAACATCTTCATATGTTTCCACATACTGAAAAATCATTTCATTAATTTTCTTTATCTAATTACGTGGATATAAGCGTACATCTCAACAGTCTCTGAATTTTTGTATTAAAAAAATAAATAAATAAAATCCCAAAATTGTCCATATTGTTAACTATTTCAAAAAATAACGGCAAAAAATCATGAAATTCAATTCATCTTCTTAGATGTAAATTGTAAACGCATTGCATATATGTCCATCTCAGTATATATATATTAATTAGGGAAGTGTTTGGGTAGGGTTGAACACCATATGTAAGGGCATATGTAATTTGCATAAATTCTTACAAATATACACAAAATTTCATTACTTAAACACAAATTCGCGCAAATTAACCCATAAAAATTTGAGATTTCCATAATTTTGTGTAAATTTTCACAAACATGTATAGTCATCTCACAAAATCGTGTAACTTAAACACAAATTCACGTAAATTAATTCATAAAAATTTGAGAAATTGCAACTTGGCATAAGTTTTCGCAAATATACGGTAAGTCACTTCACAAAATTACGTAACTTAACACAAATTTGCGTAAGGTAACCTATAAAACATGTTGTGAGTTCTCAAAAGTTCTGTCACAAATACTCGAAAAATTAGTAAGTAGAACTCCGCATCCAATAATTTGCTAAACAGTTTTCCAATTCAACCCTCATAAATTAAAGACTGTCCAAAAGTTATATATCAATCAATGCATACACAGAATGAAGTAATTAATTAATTTGAATGTAAAAGACTTTGATGAGAGAGAGAGAGAGAGAGAGAGAGCCTTGCCTTGAAGATGGGAAGATAGAACAGAGCAAGAAACACAGTGTCACAGATACGTTGAAACTACTGCCCCTGATATGTCTATATGTTAGGACATACCTCTTCGCGATCCGGTTCGCTGTGTGACGGTTTGCAGCACAATTTTAAGGCTTTGTTTGGACAAGAAGAATCCGTTTTTGTCTGGTTTTTTAACCAATTTTTCAAATCTTCTCATTTTCTTTCCAATTTTAAAATCTTTGGATATATTACAAATTACAAATATATCATCTAAAATTTGTTTAAAATGCAAATTGTTCACTTTAATTCAAGATTTTACATCTTACCGTTTCAAATTTTTAATTGTATAACAAATGACTCATTTCATTAATCAATCTTTAAGTTAATTAACTATCTTTAATGATAATAGAAATGTATTTCAATTAAAAGTTCTAGTAATTTTATTGTTGTATAAGAAAGTAATTAGAAATTTTATTTATTTTTTTGTTAACTCTGTTAAATGACACATTCTAATATGTGAGTATTTGTAATTTTTTAAAACTACAAAAAATAATTTATATTTCAAACAAATAGAAGTATTTGTAATTTACTCTAAATCTTTTATAATAATTGTTAGATTATATTATGGGGGATGCACCAATAAATCCCAAATTAATAACTTATACACTGTTTAGTCCTAAAAGTTTTCTTATAGACTGAAAGGTCTCATTACAATGTTTCAAACATCAGATTAATGTTTCGAACATTAGATTTCGAACATCAGATTAATGTTTCAAACATTAGATTGATGTGCAAATGGGACTAAATGGAACATAAGAAAACTTTTAGGACTAAATGGTTCAACTTTTCAGAAACTAGGACTTATGGGTAAATTTTCCTTATATTATTTACTATAAAATATAATTATATATTAGTAAAATTCAAAACCCCAAGGATTGGCTTAACGGGTGTAGCTTGGGGCTTGGAGTATGCTCCCTCCAAATCCTATAAGTTCAACTCTCACTTAAGTGTTATTAATTTTTTGAGGTCACATCCGTGGATTTTGCACGAGATTTATCCGATCTCCGTAAAGGAAGTTCTTTGCATAGATCTCGAGATTAGTCGAAATACGTATAAATTAATTCGAACACCCGATCAATTATTAAAAAAAAATATTAGTGAAATCCGAGTTATTTGAATGGTAAGACTTGCCATTTAAGTTGTGCCCAAATTTTATCTTGACGAAATTTAAAATTATATTATTTCAAATCTTGAATTTTTTTGAGTTGAACTTATATTTGTTTGGGATGAGAGTCTGGTTAAAATAGTTCGCTAAAAAATAAAATATGCTAAAATAACTAATAATATCGTATTCAATCCATGATCATTTTATTTTTCTTTCTCAACTATCAAATCAATTATAAAAAAATTTAATTATCTTTTCAAATACAACTATTTTAGTCAGATTAAAATAGTCAAAAAAAATCAAATAACCAACTAAAATAAATAATTTTTCAAATAAGGCAATTTGGACGATTCAACCTCATTTGACAAAATTATTTTGTTAACTATTTTAACTTATCACATCTCAGTGTTGCATAGAGATGGCAGTTTGTTCAATCCAAAAACAAAAACAAAAAAAAATTCTAACCGTGTATGAGTAAAATAACCCTTAACGTGTACATGTGTATATATAAAGATTAATTTGTTAGAAACAGATATATATATATATATATATAAGGAAGTATAAGGTTTAATATATTTTATATTTTACAATAAGTCATTTAATAAAATATATCAAAATATAAAATAGATCTCAAAAAAAATAAAGAGAATTTCTATGTAAATTAAAATGCTAAAATATTTGCATTTTTGATTTGTCATTTTTAATCGATTTAACTTTTATCACTCATTAGTTGAACCTTATACAATTGAGGGGTGATAAAAAATAAAAAAATAAAAAAATAAAAAGGTTCAAAATAAGTTTGAATTTCCATCTCTTAAGTTTAGGTATTATTTGACCTTCCCAACAAAAGTGTACTTTTTTTTATTTATTTATCTTTTTTAAATTAAGGAGTGATTTGAGATATTCTAAATAAGTATATTTTTTAATCTTTTATAAAAAATATATATATAAAAAAGGAAAATGTCTCGTAGCTCAAATTTTGTGGCTCAAAAGTGGCTCAAATGGCCAAAACGACGTCGTTTTGGCCATTTTTATGTTGTTCTGTACTCAAAACGACGTCGTTTTAGCCAGTGCTATGGGAATGGGATGGGAATGGAGATTGGGGAGGTGGGGTATTATCTCTGTAGGATTTTATTGAGTAGTTGGGAAGCAATCTGTGTCTTGCAGGAAAATGTTTGTGTGTATATATATATATATATATTTTAAGTAAAATAATTTATTTCCAAATAAGTTTTAGATTTGGATTGGCAATTTAACTTTGTATGTCACGTCATAGTATCATCATTTTTAAAAGTGACAATTATTTATGATTCCACTCACTTTTACTTCCAATCAAAATTTTCAATTCCATCCTTACCTTAAAGAAGTCGATGGTGTTTATCAATTATTATATTAATTAGTGTATTAATACTAGTTATGATATTATTATTGACCTCACCTATTATATAAATTATAAATATTAAAAATTTCTTAAATTATACCACATCATCAATTGATACACTAATTAATATATATAACATTATTCTCTAAAAACATGACACCACAATTTTGAATTCTTTCTGTATTGTTTCATTAAATAGTTGATTTTTAAAATAAATATGCAAATAAATTATTTCGTATATCTTTTAACACTATATAACTGTGGTGGCCGAATAAATGAAATTAAAGAAAACTCATAAGTCGACCAATTGAAGAAAAGGCCGTGCATAAATCGGCCAGTAGACGGCCCACCGGCCCATGCGTCAATGGAAAAAATGGTCGAATACAAGTTGGCCCATGACTGGTCCATCAGGAAAGGGTCGTAGCCGAGTAAAACCAAAGTTAGAGGGTCGTTAGAGCCGTATATCCCATGGGCTGTATGGAGGCTCAAGGACGAGGAAGAGGCCCAAAAGAAAGAAGTGAGCCCTTGGAGGGCCCTTGGGAAACATTATAAAAGAAAGAGCCATAATCACACAAAGGGAGCAAGAACTGGGGAGAAAAAAAAAAGATCAAGAGAGACATAATCAAATTCTTAGAATAGATAGGATCAAGGTCTATTTGGACCGGACCATTGCATCACAATTGGCGCCGTCTGTGGGAATACTAGCGCGTTCATGGCAGACATAACAGATGATCTTCCTCTGGTTGCTAACGATGTTACACCAAAAGATGTTACTCTAAGAACCATGCTTGGTCCGGAGAATATCATCGCACGAAGAGCCTTGAATTTCGACCCAGTAGCTCAATCATCACCTTCAACCTCGATGCAGGAAACCATGTAAACGATGGTGGACCAAGCAAAACGAAATGAACAACATTTGGAAGATATGGCGGCTGATAACGAACGTTTACGTAAAAAGCTGGCTCTGGAGTTAGCCAAATCTCAGCAGATTGCACCACATCACGAGCAGGGTCGGTCACCAAAACAGAAAAAGGATAATCAATGATGTTAGCATCAGAAACATAATAGCAGCAACACCTCTGACTCATTAGCATAAGAGCTCAAGAAAAAAGGGCGAGTTGGCATGTCTAGCTCATCTAAAGGAAGCTGATATGTGCGACATAGGCGAGGAAAAAGAGTTGGTGGTTCAGATGAAAATGACAGACATGATCCTTTCGTACGACAAATCGTAAGGGCCATCTTGCCTAAAAAGTTCAAAGCGCCAACGTTTACGTTGTATGATGA